CTATATATATAAAAATATAAGTTAAGATTTTATTTTTTATAAACAATTTTTATTATAATAATTAAGTAACAAATTTAAAATTATACATTTAGCTAAAAATATAATTTAATTCTTAATTTTTCTATTTGTAAATTTTTTTCTTTATTATTCTTATATATATTATTTATGAGAAGAGATCCACTTACTTCAAAGAGTAAGTTTTGGTAGACCGACTCTACTCAATAACTATCTTATACATCAAATTTTAATGATTTAACCATTAAATAAAAAAATTAATGCATAAATCAAGTTTACAAATTTAAAAAAAAATAAAAATTATATGATACTTCGTCATATAGATTCAAATCAATGTATATATTTTTTATAATTATCCATCAATTTGAATTAATGAAACAAAGTATCAAATAATCATTAAATTTTTAAAAATTTTGTAAACTTGATCTATATATTAAGAATTTTTAATTTGACAATTGAATTGTTAAAATTTTACATAAAAGTAAAGTAATTCTACAAAAACTTATTCATGGAGTAAGTAGATCCTTTCTCATTATTTATATTATAATATAATTATTAATTTTTTTTTGAAAGGTATATAATTATTAACTTAAAATTTTTAATTTATTTAAAATGCATAAATAATAAAATTATTAAAAAATGTGATGACTTCCTCATGGGTTTACCTAAATCAGATAATTCTCGAATCTAAATTCTAACAGTTTTGTTTTTTATTATCTCCTAAAAGGTTTATTAAATATTAAAGTATATGTGTGTTTTATAAATTATTATTTCTTCTTTTATTTTTACGTTTTTTTTTATGAAGCGAAAACTATATATATATATATATATACGAAAACATGTAATTAATTCATCGCATCATATAGTACATGTATCCGGTTTTACCTAATGGGAAAAACTTTTTTGTTGTTGCAATCATGTAATTGTTTTAATCAAAGTTTATTTATTTATGTCTAAATTAGCTTGTGTATATATAATAATTGTGAACACGAATAATGGTCTCGTGATAGCTTGGTTTGCGGATCATGTGGAGATTGACTACTTCGTGTTTGGTGACAAAATCCAACAGAAAAAGATACATGCGTATTGGCTGTTGAGGCCTATTGATATTAAACTTAAAATACAGGATTTGGTTTCCCTAAAAAAGAGAGAGAGAAATGTATTTTTATGCTTTGTTTAAATAATGAAAGATTTTAACAAGAAAGAAGTGCAATAAAAAGAAGATAATTAGTAGAAAATAAATAAATTTATAAGTTATTTAGATTTAGAAAAATAAGAAGAAAAAAAAACAAATATGTTATAAAGAAATATTTATCTTTAATAATATTTATTTTGAAGAGTCGAGCCTTAACTCAATTCATTAACAATAAGAGAAAAGATACAATTAGATATGTATACAAAATTCATGAGATTAACATAATATTTGGAGGCCTTTGCAAGATTGGCCGTCATCAAATTGGTTGATCTATGGATGAAACTTACATTAAAATTGACACAATAATTTATCTTATTCCTAAAATGATTCATAACGTCACTAAATTCAGTTCTATCCTTCAGGTTGGGATGGAGGAAAAAAATTTCAATTCTACTACTACTAGATTCGAAAAGGATGGGCGTATATTATTTTTCCGAAGCCAAAATGATGTCTTGCATAAGAGCAATAGCATCTCTAAATTTATTCTTAATAACATATTTATATAATAATTGGAAAAATGTCATCAATTGATATATTTATCTAACATACCATATTATATCCTTAAATATGCAAAATTTACCAAAAAAAAGTGTAAATTTCAAATTATTTCTTATAAATAAAATGTAATTTTTATGTTAAAATTTTTTAATCATTATAAATTTGAAATTTTATCTAACTTTTTTTTATATATATAATATAGTATTTTAATTTGTTTATTATACGAGATAATTTTTCTATAATAAAAATAGGGCAATTGATTCCGGTAAAAAAAATTACTTCTGAAGGTCTCTTTTATTTTGTTATTTTATTTTTATTTTTTATTTTCATTATTTATTTATTTCATAAAAATTTATCACCGCCTGTTATTATCAATTTCAAAGTAATTTAAGTTCATCTAAAGTAACTATTATTATTATTATTATTATTATTATTATTATTATTATTATTATTTTATAATAAAAAAATATTTATATAACAAAATTGTATAACATTAATTTTTTTTTCTATCTCTCCATCACATTATTCATTACATTTATTAATAATAAAGAGATAAGTATTAAAAAATATATATTATATAAATTATTGTAAGTATATGATTACTCTTTTTTAAATACCTAAACCTAATCTTTCAGGGCCAACCAAAAATATTACAGGGAATCAAAAAGTTGGACTCTAGATACATTGAAAATAGGCTGATGATAAACACACCTCCACTCTCGTATAAACACATCTTCTTTTTAAAAAAAAATATATAAAATATCTAAATTACCCTTTAAAAAAATGAAATTTCTAAACTTACACCTCTCTTCCCCGCACCCCCTTTCCCCGCACCCCATACTCCACACCCCTCTTCTTCCCAAAGCCTCTTTCCGCTCAATGTCATTAAGCAATATACTTTTATAGTCATTCTGAATAGAAAAAAAGGACTAGCCCCACCATAACCAGCATAAGAAAGGTTCTTTTACAGTCATTAGCATTCCGGAAAGTACTTTTACAGTCATTAGCATTCCGGAAAGTACTTTCCGGAATAGTAAAATTATTGTTCATATAATTCCGGAAAGAACTTTCCGTAATAGTAACTTTAATATTATGGAAAGTACTTTCCGGAATTATGTAACAAAACATTTCCGGAAAATACTTTCCGGAATAAGAATTTAATATTATGGAAAGTATTTTC